TTATATAAAATATTGTATCTTATTTTAATAATAAATAACTCATTATTTTATGAACTTTTTGTTGCAAAATTATCTAAATGATTTATAATTCATTGTATAAAAAAAATCAAATGATTTTAATTTACCAATTGAAGTTGGAGAAACGCCTCAAGTTCCTTAAATAAAGATTCTTTCTTTCATATCAAATATCTTATAAACTAGTTAAATTATTTGTTATCATTACCAAGTAAGTATGATTCCAAAAGTATAAGCTTTTATCATTTAATTATGAATATTTAATCGTGTTTAGATTAATTTTATAATAATATATCGTTAATATCATTTTTTGAAGAATTAATTTTTTAATATTTTGACATTTTTTTTTCTAAATGAAACGATAAAAAAATAATTCATAAAATATTTAAAGGACAAAAAAATTATAAATTGAGTTAATGACCAAAGTACTCCTTAAGATAAACATTTATCTTTTTTTTTTTGTTCTAGTAACGTTTAAACGATTATTTTATTTTTAAAGGGTATTTATTTTCTAGTAATAAACATAGCTTAATTTTTTACTTTGTGTTTGAGTATTTTTAATTTTATTAATTTTAAAAATATTTTAATTAACTAAAAAAACCAATACACAAAACAAATACTTGAGTAGATACATTTCTGAATAACTTTACTTAGTCCTAAAATAATTTAAAAATTCATAAATATAGAATTGTTGAGAAAAATTTTATCTTTCTTGCATTTCAAACCAAACTAAATTTTAAAGAATAAAAAATTGAAGTATATGTAATTAAAAGATTTAAGCATATTTTGATACATTTATATATCAGCTAAGCAAAATTAAGTCCAAGTAATATATCTTCTGAACAATTTTAACTAGTCACATAAAAATTGTTCACTTTGATCAATGTGTTGATATGTAAAAAATTCGTAATTAAAGAAAAATTCATAATTCAGTATAGCAAAAATTAAGATTCAAGTAATTTCATATCTTCTGAGCAATTTATTAAAATTGAATTAATTTTTCTTTAATAGTATTGGAGTTATGTTAAAACTTTTTTTCTAATACTTACATGTGATTCATATTTATCACCAAAAATTCCTTTATCTTTCAATCTTCTCTAATACAGGTTTCAAATGCTCCTTAAAAGTAACCACATTGAATTACACCCAAATATAAGTAGTAAAGTGATAACTTGGGTATGGACTTTTGAAAGAATGGGATGTATTACGAGAATGGATGTAAAATTTTTGGTAAAGCTTTGACCACATCTTCATTTTTTGATATTTTCTTTAATGTAATTTAAAGATATTAAGATATTATTCCATATTTATAATTTATAATTTATCTTACCTGTCCAACCAAAACATCAGCTACTGGACGAGTGATCATGCTTGAGAAATTTAGGGTTTAAAAAAATAAAATAATATTAATTATTATTGTTACTACTATTTCAAAAATTAAACCAAAGATAATAAAAGTGACTTACTAGAACAATCTCCTTATTAATAGAAATCATAAATTTTTTTTGCATTTGTCCACTGTACGAATGCAATTTTTCAGTAATTCTTTCACATATCGGTTTGATTACTTGTTCTAACGTTCAGGATCCTTGAGACTTTTTAAAACACGATACAAAAGGAAATGACTATATAATAAATAAATATAACATCTAAAATAAATACGGTATTTGATATTTGAAATAATTGATTAATTAGTTGTAAATTTATTTACATCTCGCGTAGAGCTGGTCATACTAAAAGCATCGGTTCTATAAACTTCGTTTCCACTAAATACAGAAAAAATGAACATTCACATTATCTACATGATCGTCACATCAAATAAAATGTATTACTCGGTAGATTAAAAAAGAATAATCTAATGCATGACCAATTATTGGAATTTTATAAGGAACTATTGGAGGTTCATTCTGGAGAAAGAAAAAAGAATGAATAAAAAAACTAAATATTATATTACAGAAAGATAAAAAAAATTACTAATAACTAACATAGGTAACTATGAATACCTACACAATGACTGGAATTGTTTCAAAGAGAAATAAATACCACGAAAATTCCTCATACAATAATTTTCTTAAATACAGATCATTCATATTATCAATTTTTGACTTAAGAAAGGAAGATTTGGATTTGTGCTAACCTCATTTTCTTGAAACGAATTATATTACATAATACATGTGTAAGTTACATGTGTAAATTATATGCGCTGTCGAAATTCAAAAAAAAAAAAAAGGAACTTACTTTAGAAACCATACAATTTGAAACATGTCGATTATTTATTGTGTCTCCCATTATACATCTATTGTAAAAGTTTGGCTAAATCAACAAAGTCAATTAATGACAATTTGATTTAGAACACTAAATGTAAATGTAGGGTTTATATTTCGATTTTTGTTTAATTTATAAAGACCTATTTTTAACCAAATTTTTTGAATTTATTTCACATTTTATTAAAAATGCGAGTATTTAGATTAATAAGATCAAGGTACAAGTTAATTAATTAATTCAAGAACACTATTTAACTTTTTTATTCCAATTAATGAGGCAAAAATGTTTTCGCTCTAGAGACACTATTTGGTTTCAAGTTGAAGGTCTTAGTTTTATCTGAAAAGTTGAAGTTGGTAAGATTCGGATTTATAATTTCAGTACAATTCATGTAATGCAACTTAAGGCATTATTGATTGCAGGCTTAGGATAGTTGAATACTGTTTTCAATAAATAATGGCTTATAAATAAATTTATGCGAGGTAAGCATTATATAATATATTTTTATATTTTATAAAATGATTAAGAATCATGAAATTTGGTATACCAACCTATAAAGAAACTATCACATTTTTGTTCAGTTGAAAATTATTAACTTGCTTTTCAATATTTTCTTCGACATTCATTTTTATTCTTCATATTAATTTAATTAAAGATTCCAACTTTCTTCATGACATTTATTAATATCAATTGGTTTAAATTTAATAAATTATAAGTTCAGTTTTCGCGTTTTTTTTTTTATTAATTTTGTGGCCAGTGTCCTATCTCATCAAGTGTCAAGTGTTTTATCTAGTGCCTGATGCTTGTTTCAAGTTATTTTTCCGTTTCCGCGTTTTGAATTATTTTTAATGTCCAATTACCATGCTTCTTTTTCTGGCGTCTCATTCACGTTTGGTTTCTTTTGTTTGAGTTTTTGTTTGCATTTGATTTAATTTGCTTGCTTCGATTTGTAGCCGGGTTGCGTATTATCAAGAAGAATCCTAGTGGCATCGAACTACAATGTAAACAGTTTCCTTTTATAAAAATAATCCTTGTTTTAAACAAATGTAGTTTATTGATAATTGTGTTGAATTAACTTAAAATCTCGATTTTATGATTATGAATCTATTAACATGAAATTTAAATTACAATAATCATGAATTTAAATACTTACATCCTAAATATAGAAGTTTTAGAAGTTACTTCCCGTAAATATATAAATATATAATTTAGAGGTTGAATTAGCTAATTAGCTTAAGATTTTGATCGTGCGTTATTATAAATTTCAATACTTATCCCCCTTGCAGAAACAATATAGAGGGTTGTTGAGATCTTTTATTGGTCTATATGCTCATTCTTCTAAGGCATTAAAGCGAATCTTCTAATTTGAAATTAGAGTTATGATAATGATGGCGATGGAGACGATGACAATGATGACGATGATGACAAAACTTCAAATTTTGTAGTAACGTCTATGCTTTGTATATTTACTTAAAATTATACTGCTTTATAATATTATGTGAAATTGATTATTTTTTTTTCATGTTGGCTTCTGATATAATAAAATATTAAAATGCAATTTGTTCAATATGTGATGAGAGATGACTATTTGTATAATAAAAAATGTAATTAGCTGACAAATAAGAAATAAAATATCAATATTATATAATTTGCATAATGAATAAATTTGAATTTGATTTTTTTTTTATTATCTTAAATACTTCATAATCTACAATAGAAAATTTTTCATAAATTGTTATAACCGATTTTTCAGTACATGTAAGAAATACTTCAACTTTCTTCGACTCGAATAAAATCAGGAACAAGTGATCCCAATGAAATTTCCAATCACTCACCAAAAACGTGGACCACAAATTATTTGAAAACCAAAGCTATAATAGTATAGAGCTCTACTTTTGTCTTGTTTTTAGCTGAGAATTGAAGCTATCGCTTGTTTTCGGTTTAGTATTTTTAGTTTTTGAATTGTCTCAGGCTAAAAGATAGCAACCTCCCCTCCAAGTATTTCATCAGTTTCTGTAACTTTTGGAATAACTATTATACCAGCATGTCTATTATACATATCCATTCCAAAACGTTTTGGGACGAAGACCATCATTCAATAATATTGGCGCAGTTTGATTAATCAAATAATAATTTGTTAAACTTTGTTATAAAGTAACATGTTTATTAATATATCATTTCTATTAATTAGAGTTGTTCTTTAATATCAAAACCCAATGAGAAACATAAAAAACATAACAAAACAACTTTATTGTGCAATAAAATAAAATAAAATGAGTTGACGCAAGTTGGTTAGGTGTGTTAAACAGTTGTATAGTCGGATTTTTTGTTTTTTTTTTTTTTGTTTTAAAGTTTCTATTTACATACAAATAACCTGTCATAAAAATAGACGAATATATGTAAAAATTCATGTTATCCATTTTTGTTAGAAGTAAAAAGGTAGTTGAGTTTCTTTGCGTTTATATCTCAAAATAGGCCAATCACTGGATCAAATAATAATTTATAATACTTTAAAACAACAATCAAACAAATAAACGAAGAGAAAAAAATCAAAAACAAAACGAAAAATATACACTTAAAAAATTCTATAATTACTTGAGACACTTGATATTCAATAGTTTTATTGACTCTTTTGTAATGAAATAATATTCAAAGATAAATCTTAGATTAGAAATTTATTGTTGCTTATTTATATTCAATTTTAAATTACTCTAATAGCATGTTCAGAATTTATTTGTTTGATATATTTTTTTTAATTCATCACTTCTTCGTTTGCTACCATTAATATGATTACTATGAATATTATAATAAAAAAAATTCTAAATCATTCAAATAAACAATTATAATAAAATAAACTTCTTATATCGCAAGTTTAAGGAAATAAATTAAAAAATTTTCTCCATCTCCTTAAAATTACGAATAATGTAAGATCATATAGATATTTATCCTATTTTATTGTAGTCTTTTTTATGTTTAAAAATAGCTACAATTTAATTTATACATTAATGTCTTTTAACTATCGCCCGCCCAGTTAAAATAATTTAACAATCTTATTCTTTGAGGTAAATTTTAACAATAATAAATTATTATTAAATTATTTAGAATCATTTAATATATACATATACTGTACATAATTATAGAATAATAAAGCTTACTTTTTTCTTGTATTCAGAATATTTTTGATTATCTCATTTATCATCATATAATAAAGCAATTTCAAAATCAGAACGAATCTAAAAATGTTAAAAATATATATATATAAATAACAATAATGATGATAATAATAATATAATTATTTTACTTACCATTGCTTTTTTAAATTTTTTAAAACTATCAATCATTATATTTCTTTGTCTTTTATCATTTATTCCCAACTCCCATAAATTATTGACGTTCATATCAATAATTTCTTGCCAAGTTTTACCATAAAAAAATGGAGCAAAATTTGAATAAGCGTATCCCATTGCATTAAGGCAAAATTTCAAATCTAGAAATGATAGATAAAAAAAAAAAAATAAGAATAAAAGTATATGCATAAATAAATTATAATATAAACACTGAAGAATAATACCCTTTAATAAATAAGGATCAACCGCAAGATCCCTTCCAATCATTTGAAAATCTCTATCGCGGTAGTTTAATTGAACTTGCGTTAAGATTAATTCTTTCGATTTAATCTATTCTTCAAACACAAATTATATCAAATAATTAATATCAAATTTATTAATATTATAAGATTACTCACATGTATCACTTTGGATCTCCAAAAATGTCTAATCAATAAACTTCTAATATTTGAATTCTTGATTCCCATATCAATTAAATTTCTAGTGCTTAACGACATAACTTCTTGCCATTTCATGTTTTCGAAATATGGAGCCAATATTTTTAACCCTATTCCATCAAGCCACTCTGGAAAGTCTGAATAAATATAATATATAATATATGTGGTAACAAAATTATAACATTTTACTCTGTAAATAATTATTAAAATATTTTAACATAACATACCTTCCAATAATTCATAATTATTTTTTTCTACATAATTCTCTCTATAAAAGTTTTTCTGTTTTTCATAAAGTTCTTGAGCAATCTCTTTGGAAGTTTTTGGTTTATTACTACTATTATTATCTTTATCTTTATTGTTGACATTATTATTATTGTTACTAATGACATTATTAATTTTATCATTATTTTTATTATTGTTACTAATGTTAACATTATCTTTATTAATGTTCTCATTATCTTTATTAATGTTATAATTATCTTTATTAATGTTATCTTTGTTATTTTTGTTGTAATCAAACGTAGTGGTTAACTCTTGTTTAAAATAAATATTTCCAAGTTTGGTAAATTTTAAAATCGAAGCTTTATTTGATTTAATGGATTTGTTAAATAAGGGAGAAGTGAAAGTAAAGTAATTGTGTGTATGAAGAAAATTAGCTTGAATATAAAACAAAACTTCACATTTTTTATATTTTATTAGATTTTTTAAGATAATTAATGACATTTCAGATTTTGGATTTTTATAAAAATTTTTTTTTACTGATTGATAATTTCTATTGATTTACAAAAATGTGACCATAAGTAATTTATTGGCTAATGTGATGTGATGTATAATATTTATTAATCAAAAAATGAAATTTATTTTTTTCCGGAAGGAAATTTAATTTATTAAAAATTCATATTTATATGAAGTGATAAAGGTAAAATGAAATTTAAATTTAATCTAATCTTATTGGTGATTAAAAATCAAAGCTCGACGTTGTTATGTAAATTACCTTAGTTAAAGCAATACTGGGAAAAACAAATGAGGACATCTCATATTGTTGGATTCGATAAATAAATTTTTAAAAATTTTATTGATATATTGATAAAAGTCATAATGTTCGAAATGTTCGAAATGTTCAAAATGCTTAAGATTTTTATTTCATTTTTTTTTTTTTTGCATTTCCGCATTTTTCCTTTTATCATAATCGGTAATTTCTATCAACATTGACACTTTATTATAATACTTCTTTTCTTATCCACTATACAGTAACTTTCGTTTATTTGCATTTTACAATACTTTCTAGTATTCCCGAGATCTAAAACAAAAATAAATTTTTTATGAATAAAATTTTTTAATCGTAAATTCTTTATAACAAATTATTCCAAACATTCCAAACATATATTCCATTTTTGGAATTTGTTTGTTTTCATAAGTTAGTTCATTCTTTTATTTGGGATATTTTTAATGTACACGCGCATGCAGAATTCGAATTAATTATTCTATTGCCGAAAATATACATATATTTTTTATTTCCAAAATCTAAGATTTCTAATATTCGAATTTCTTAAATAGAAACTTGAAAGTTAACAGGTTTTATTTGTTTTCAAAAATTACATTACTATTACTATTTATATATTATTTTATTAAATTTTTTAACAATTCAAACATTACTATATATACTGCCTAAGAAGATTTCATGATAAAGACAATACGTTGTTTGTTTGGAATCCTAGAATATGGAAGAAAGGTACTATCAAAAGAAAAAAATAATCTTTTTTTACGAGAAATACGTTCGACAAGTTCGAAAAGTGTAGTGTACGAACCCAAATTTGTCGGTAATTAACCCTGAATTTTCTAAACCAGGAAATGGATGAATTGTTCATTCCTGGTAAAGATTTGTCAACATTTCCCCAACCAAAATCTGTTCTCTATTTATGTCTTAACGTTATAATCTGATGTAATCAAGTAAATTCCTATTTCTGGATTCGAAAAAAAAAAAAAAAAATAGGACCGAAAAAAAGAATTTAAAAAGATTATTTATATTATGTAGGAATATACATACATAACCTTTACACATACACGCATGATTTACATAATTAACATAAAAAGAATGAATAAGTCGAGAGTAAGAATAAAGAATAGAAAGACGGATTTATTTTCAAGTTTAACTTGTATTAACCCGAATTTGGATAACAGAGCATAAATCTTATTATTAATTTTAATTTTAATCTTTAATTAAAAGTAAAATTGAATAAATTGAATTGAATAGTTAGATTAATTACAAATTATTGTTCCATACTCTATTTAGATTAACAGAAATGACAGAAATAGCAAATTTTATTGGATCAAAATTTTTTCTTTGTCAGAATATGTATGATATATGCGAAATTTACTTTAACAGTATAACGTGTTTTGTAACAAAATCAATAATAATCCTCTACAAACACACCCCTCGGGACCATAGAAACTAAAAATAAAAGGTGTGATTATAACCATATAGAGGGATTTTTATATAGTATTACTAAGTATTGGTCCTCATGAAGTGGGGATTTATATGATGTGATTGTACAGGGGGTGACTATAGAGGAAGTCCACTGTGGATAAACAGATAAAAATAAAGCATGAATGAAAATGAGAGAATTCCTTTTGTTGTTCAAATTTCATTTAATCACATTAAATTAATAATTTATAAAGAAGAGAGATGATGCATGCATTTATTATATTAATTTTTAATTTTATTATTTATTATTTATTATTTATTATATTTATTATTTTTTATTATTATTTCTTTTTATTTTTTATTTTTTATATAATTATTATTTTTTATTTTTTTTATTATTATCTATTATTTATTATTTATTGATTATTTATTATTATTATAATTAATAGTTATTATTCATTATTTAAAATTATTCGTTGTTTGCCTATTCACCATGTTTGTTACGTTATTATGCAGAGAATGGTAATTACATAATAATATACTTTTTTTTTAATTTATTTTTTAATTATTGCTTTTTTTTTTTACTTTTAATCAATTTTTAAATGTTTCTCGAAACTGATTTTTCATTGTTTTTTTCAAAAACAAATAAATAAATAATAACTTTAAGGTTCGTAAAATAATATCTCTCCTCCCGCCCCGCAAAGAATTTAAATATTTAATATTCAATTAACATAATAAACATTTTAATCATTTTCGCTTAATTTTTAAAGTTTACTTTTATATAACTTTTCAAAGTTTATGAACTTATGATAATTTTTACTTTAAATAGGTTACTTGCTAAAGCAATGATATAATAATAATTATTATTATTAATTTTTTAAAAACAATAGTATTATTTTTTTTAACATTGTCCAGGTACTGTATAGTGAAAATGTTGTGCTTTATAAAATAAATTTGATCATCAATCGATAAACCTGCATATTTGGTAAATTCGTCATCGCATCAACTAAAAAAAAAAAATTCGATCATTATTTTGTTTTGTTTATTATAATAGAATGTTTGTATATTCTAATTTATCTGTAGAATGTTTCTTCTATATATGATTATATAATAATAATATAAACAGTGCAAGCAATTAAAAAATGTAAAACTGTTGACTATAAATATTTTTGTGGATAAATAGATAAATAATAATTATCTTTATTTATTTTTGAACAATATTAAAATATCTAGATCATATATTGAAAGTATTCAACATTCTCTTTAATTAATTAATCAGTCAGAATTAAAATATAATAGATATTTGCATATTTTATATAATATATATGCATCATCATAATGTATCGTACATATGAAAATATACTAACAGATTATAGGAATAAAGTTAAAGTGTAATATATTAACATATAATATATAATATATATATAATATGCAGACTTATTATCGCATTAATTACATGTATAATATGTACGCAATTCTTCCCGAACAAATAATGAAAAATAAATAAAATGTACTAAATAAAATATTACAAATAATAAATAAATAATGCAAAATACAATAGATTATACAAATATTTTCAATTCTGATTAATATACTGAAAAACGAAAAATATAAAAATGACGGTCGACAAGAAAACTTTTTTTTATTCCATTATTTATATATTTATTATTATTATTATTTATTAATATAATAATAATTATTTTAATTTCTTGGGAGGTTTGTGATTATATCTTTTTAATTTTATTAATTAATAAAAGAAAAGGACATTTAATTATTTCTTTCTTTATTATTATTATTATTCTAATTATCTTTACCTTTCTCACTTATTATCTTTAGATTTCTTTCTCCTACTCCGTTTATTATAATTATCTCAATCATTCATTCTTTCTTTTTTTCCTTATTTATATTTATCCATTTTATCCGAATTTAGTCATTCCTCACATTTATTCACTTGTAATCACTACCCCATAATTTATCTTATATCTTCATTTTTTATATAAACGAACGATAAAAATTAATTTAATTCAATAATTAATTTAGTTTATTAAACATTGTTATCATTTTATTAAGAAAAATGGGTCACCCTAATTCAAAGGAAAATATTCAACGAAAAACTACTCAAAATATCTTTCGTTATATTGATGGAAGAAGATTTCATAATGTCGAAAATTCAAAATATTTTTTACCTAATGACGATGAAGAAGGTTATAATAATAATGATAATAATAATAATGAGATAATAATAATAATGAGATAATAAAGAGATAATAAAAATAAAAAATTCAAATTAAAGTAACGCGCGTTTCCTTTTTTTTTTTTTTTTAAAAAAAAAAAAAATTTATAGTTGATCGATTACAATTGCAACACTTTCTTTTCCGAAATATCTGGGATGGAAATTTTTCATCACCCATAAATGATTTTATTGATCAAGGAGGAGCAAATATTCTTGACGTTGGTTGTGGTCCTGGTACATGGTTATTAGAAATGTCAACTGAATATCCACGTTCTTCATTTACCGGTATTGATATGTCTCCAATATTCCCAGCTGATATAAAACCTTTTAATTTAAATTTTTATGTTGCTAATATATTGGAAAAATTACCATTTCAAGGTAATTATCGTATAATATTATAATTGTTATATTTTTATTAATTTCAACAACAATAACAATAATAATAATAATTACAATGATTTATACGTATTTCATTATTTATTTATTTAGATAATTCCTTTGATTTTGTATATATGAGATTTCTTATGACAGCATTCACCGAAGAAGAATGGACTAAAGCTATTCAAGAATTAATTAGAGTGGTTAAACCAGGTGGATGGTTAGAATTAATGGAAGGTGATTTAGCATTTAATCCTGAAGGTCCAACTGGAAGGATTTTGATGGACGCATGTAAGTATAAATAACTTTTAGTTTTTAGTTTTTTGCATATAAAAATAATCTTTAATAATCTTTAATCTTAATAATCTTTAATCTTTAATAATCTTTAATCTTTAATAAATTATGTTATCTTTAGTTCGATCTACACTCATTGAAAAATCTATAAACCCAAAAATTTGTTTGCAATTACAAAAATGGCTATCTTCTTCAGCACAATTACATAATTTCTCATATAAAGAAAAATCAGGACCTATTGGTAGTTGGGCGGGAAGCATAGGTGAATTAGCTTGTCAAGATTTTTGTGGAATTTTATATGCACTTCGACCTATTCTCACTATTCAATTAAATAAAAAACCTGAAGAATTTGATGAAATGGTGGTGGAATTTGGAAAAGAATGTAACGAAAATAAAACTAATTTCAGACATTTCAGATTTTTCTGTCAGAAATTAGATTAATCTGTATTATAATTATTATTATTTTATATCTTATTTTATTTATATTATTTCTACATTTATAACATTTTTTTTAACACATTTAAAATTGATTTTCATTTAAAGTTTTCCCCTTAAAAAAAAAACAAAAAAAAATAGGTACCCATACACAACTCTTTTATGTCAAATAACCCACACCTTGAAATACTTTAAAATATTCATTATTATAAATATACTTTTAATATACTTTTTAAAAACCAAATAACTTAAAAAATAATTTAAATCCCTTATGATTATTACTTTTAAAAATATTTTAAGACATTCTTATTCTTTTTTACTTATGACATGTAACGACATGTTATCGCGTTCAAAACACGTGATTATATATGTTCTCAAAGATATCAAATATACATAATATACACACGCACACAACACTTATGTCATATAAACATATTTATAATATTTATATAATATTTATATAGAATATTTATATGACACAAATTTTATAATTTTTTATTTAACAAAAAAAAATCTCTTATGGGGTTCCTCTCTTGGTCATTAACTAGGCAGTACCACACACACTATCACCACGCTATTATTTATCAAAAAAAAAAAATGCACAACATTCATTTCATTTATTCAATTCTTTTATTTTTAAATGAATTATTAATTATGTCTTTTTCTCTCGAATATATTCTTATATTCGTGCTTTTATTCTAACATTTATTTATTCATTCGGAAAAATACAAAAAATAATAATAAAATAACTCAATTCCTAATTTCTTTGACATTCATTGAAATTCTTTTTGTACTGAATTTTTCTTTCCACATATTAACATACATTGACATATATAAACAAATGTTAGCCCATTAATATAATTATTTTTCAAAGAAATCATCTAAAAAGGAAAATAAAAAGAATGTATATTTTATATTTTATATCTTATATTTCAAATTTCCAATCTAGTAAGTCTTTGATTTTTAAATATCTTTTATATATACATTTTGTGTAAATTGTAAATTTTCATTTATAATTTTTTTTATAATATTTGTATCTTATTATTTTTATTGTTTTTATTATAATTTACTGTATGATTGTATAAATAAATATCAATAAAAACCATTTATGTTTACATATTTACAAAATTTATTTATTTATCTTTTGATTCTTTGTCATTTTTACTTTACATATCTCAACTTTACTTAACGTGGTCATTTTTATTCCATCTCTCTTAACACATTTGATCAAAAAAAAAATAATTTGATAAATAAACAATTAATGTACAAAAAAATTATGTGTTTCGTTGTAAAGAGAGAACAATTTGTACTCTACAATACATTACATAATAAATGATCAATAATATCCCTTATAATATTATTAATATTATTATACACCGGTTTCAATCTAGTTTTACACGTGCAGATCTTGCATTCTTTGAAATGCTTACAAATTCTCCGATTATATGATATTACAATATTAATATTCACAATAATGTTGATAAAAAGGGGAAGATCAACTCATATCCTTCCTTTAAGTAAAAATAATTATATAATAATAAAAAAATAATTACTACACATAAGATATCATCTTTTTTAAGTTGATATAATCAAAAATAGTTTATTATTAAAAATAAAACATTTTTGATAACAACAACAATAAAATAATACAACAATAATACAAATACATGAATAATTTATTTAATTTGAGATATATCAATATTATGTTTGTGAGTTAAATGATATTTCAAAGAAGAAGGAGATCCACTATATGAAAATTCTTTTTTACATTCATAACATTTTGTTTTACGATCTTTACTATTAGATAAACAATATGGAATAGTAAAATAATTCCAAACTTTGCTTTTTCTATTTGTATAATAATAAGATCCACTAGATTGAGAATTGTTTTTAATAATAGAATTTCTTTCAATAATTTCATTAATTTCATTAGTTTCATTAATTTCATTAGCTTCATTAATTTCAATTGTTTTATCAATTGTTTTATTAGTAGTGATTTCATTGATAGAAAATTGAAAATTCAAATTATCACTATTATTAGATGAAGATTTTTTATGTTGATTTGAACTATTTGAATTATTTGTGAATATATCAATATTATGTTTATGAGCCAAGTGATATTTTAATGAAGAAGGTGATCCACTATATGAAAATTCTTTTCCACATTCATGACATTTCGTTTTACTATTGGGAATTCCATATGGCATAGAAAAATAATCCCAAACTTTGCTTTTCCTATTTGTATATGATGATGTGGTTGTTGTATTGGTTTGTATTGAATTGTTTTCTATAGAACTTTGTTCTGGAAATGTTATTGGAAAACCATAATCATATGACATATTGAATATTAAACACTACGATCATGTATATATATATTTATTTATAAATTGATATATAAATTGATATATAAATTGATATATATAAATAGAGATAAATTTATATATAAATATATAAATTTTTATAAAAAAAAAAATATAAGAAAAGGGTGTTTGTAGAAAGTTTTCCTATACCAATAGTCGGTCTTACAAGACTTTGACTCAAAAAATTAATGAAGGATGCGAGAATACAATTTTATTTATACGTTTTGGATATTAAATAATTTGGTTACAAGAACTCAGCCATGTGCGATGATTCGGTAGATTCGGAACATTCTTTATAGAAAATTTAGAATTTTAGAAATCTAGAATTTTCTGTTTTTCTGTGACTATTTTCCAACAGAATTCCGAAAATGAATTCTATGCAGATCAGTTATACAATTGTTTTTTGACACAAAATAAAAGAGACATTTATTGATTTCCTAGTATATTTTATGATATAAATAAATGAGTGTTCTAAATATTCGAAAAAACATAGTATTAGCGAAAAAAACTTTAAATATAAAACTTATAACTGACTTGATGTGGAAACAAAAATATAGCTTTTAGAATTAAATTCTTAGCGATGAAACGTGAGAAAAATCGTCCAAATAAAAAAAATTTTACAATGAAAATTTAAGTATTTATGGCCTTTGTATTATAATGCTTTCAACACTTTTTATTTTTAATGAATTAATCGAATTAATAAGTTACATTTCTTAGCTTTAATCAATTTCGTAACATATAAGATTTATATATCTATTTTATATTTCACCTAAATGTAAATACCAAGCATAATTATTTATCAAGAAACCTTTGGCAGGTTATAATGAGGCAATAAAAATATAATTAATATAATATCGATTTTTTCTTATTGCATTACAGTCTCTTATTATAAATATATATTTTAAAGAATTATAAATTTTAGTCAGGTTCATTATATTCTGAATGGGCAATTAAATATGGTGGAATATTTTCGTTACCATGGATTGTTTAATCATTCGCAACTTATAATCACTGGTGAAAAGTTATTATAAAGCGGATTTCATTGGTATTAAATTGGTAATTGGTGTTAAAGGAATTTTTGTCCTGAATTTTCAGTACATAAACGATGACAAAGGAAAATGTTAAGTCTATTATTCATTTTTTCTATATATTTATTTATTACATTTGTTATATATATTTATTATATTATTTATTATTAATTATTTTATTAAAATTATTTTATTATTATATATTTTATAGGAAATGATTTCAACATTTGTTTCTATAGCTCAATCTAGCAAGGTAAACTTGGTTATAATGAAAGAAAGATAGTAATACCTCCCTATTTATTTAAGCTACTTTGGATGTTATTGGATTAGTTGTATATGATTAATTGACTATTTTATTTATTAAATGTTTATTAATTTAAATATTCATTAACTAATGTTTCTCTTATTATTTTAATAGTCTTGTCTCTTCCAATAAATTTACGGATACTTTTAATATTATCTTCAATAATAAACTCACAATTATAAGTATTTTAATTCGAAAAATTTCATTGAATGTAATATTACGCTTCATAATTCTAATTAATGTCGCAAGGGAAATTTGTAATCAAATATTTCAAGTAAAAATGAAATTAGCTTCTGAAGGAAAATTGCATGAAAAAGATTTATTAATTAATAATAATGATAATAATAAAACTGATGATTCAGAAAAAATATCTGGTTTAGAATTACAGGATCAGGTAATTAATTATATCCTATTCAAATTATACAAGCAATGTTATAATATTGTAATGTTAATATAATATTTTACTCATTTTGTTATTTTAGGTGACATTTTTTGTTGCTGGTCATTTAACTACAGGAGCTGTTATTACTATTTATTTGTTAGCTAAGCACCCTCAATATCAAGATAAATTGAGACAAGAACTTTTAAATGCATTTCCAAATCCTGAGTTCACTCCAACATATAATAATCTTAATAGTCTGTAATATTTAAATTGTGTAATAAAAGAATCCATGAGAATTATTCCACCTGACAATGTATCAATTATTATTATTAATAAATTCTAAATATATATGTTCATTGTATTTCATTATATAATATTTTATAAATTATTAAAATTACATTATGTAGAATGGCTGATGGAGACACAATGTTGAATGGAATGTTGAATGGAATGGATACTTTGTTCCAAAAGGTACAATTTATATTACAAATAATTTATATATTTTGTTATACATTAATTAACATTTTATTTATTATTAATTCCTTCAAATATTGATCAATTTAAGCCTGAAAGATTAAAAATTCAAAATTCTTAGATGATTTAACAGGAGAAAAAGCTAATAATCTCAATTATATTCCTTTCAAATACTGGACCATGTTCTTGCATTGGTAACAAATTGGTTTTATTGGAAATGAAAATTTTTTTATATATCTTAATTAGAAACTTTAAATTTAGAGAAATTAAAGCTTTACTTTCAAAAAAAGTTTATTATTCGATTACAAGAACTCACCCAAATTTTGAATTGCGGGTTGAGGAATTTAATAATTAAAATGTATTATTTCCTTTATTCTCTTGTCATTAATGTTTTTAATTGTATCAATAGAATAATATATATATGTATATGGAATTAATTTTATTAATTTATAATTTATAATTTATAATTTGAGTTTTCATCAGTCTGTAGAGTATATCAATTTAAATAGTATTCTATTTTAAATCTTTAATAAAAAGAACTATGATGCACACTCAATTTTGGTATTTGATTAGTAATTCTCGTATTATTTTAAATTGCTTTGCTTAATTGATTGTATCATAGAAGATGTGGTACTTTCCCTGATTTTGTACCTTTGGATCAAATATTTATTATAACGTACGAGAATATTATTCATGACTGACATATTACTTTCCCCAATTATAATGACACAAAAAGAGCCATAATATTCAAGCCCAACTTTGCAATTCCCTTGTGCTTGGAAATCGCAATTTGTTAACATTGTTTATGACACGTCAGTCCAAAAATTTGTTGAGTTTTTTAACATCATCAGGAAAATTTTGACTTCGAAAATTTCCTGATGATTGAATTTTCAAGGATTTTGGTCTTGATAAGGGCACGAGTAAATTTAAGTAATTGGTCTGCTAATTAAAGTTGGCCACACTGCCAACTAGTTATCAGTGATAAGTCTTTTATAGCAGAACCTAATTTGTTAATAAGATCCTTATGTTTTGGAAAAATTACTATCAAAATACTTGCCTGTGGAGATGAGAAATACTGTATATGGCATGAAACATTTGTTGTTTGTGTCATTTATACTTATTTTGCATTAGAAGGAGCTTGAAGTGGGTTAGTTACAAGAGAAAATGATTTATAATTAGCCTTCACGATTTTAAAATGATTTGTGATTAGCTTTCACGATTTAAGACAAATTGTAATTATTCTAAGGTGATTCATAATTATTCTAAGGCAATTTGTAATTAAACCTTTATATTTTAAGACAATTTATAATTAGCTTTCATGATTTTTAAGATGATTTGTGATTAGCTATAAAAATTTGTTCAATTTTTTGATTATTGATAAAAACAATTTATTACTTTACTTTGCTAATTTTATTTTATTTGTTATTAATATTATTAATATGATAAAAGTAAAATACAATTGAAAAAAAATCTAAAAATTATTAATATCTAAAATTATATAAAAATTATTAATATCTAAAATAATATAAAAATTATTAATATCTAAAATAATATTATGCACTATTATTATTACTAAAATTAAAATTATGCTACTGTAGTAATAGTAACAATAGTATCTGCTACAGTAACAACTGGAGGAGCACCATTTCCATTATCATTATTATCATTATTATTGTGTTGTTATTATTGTTGTTATTATCGATGATATTAATATCATCAAGATTTGGTTCTTTTTCATCCTCCAATTGGTAGGTATCTACCAATCAGAAATATCAAATTTTGTTTACTTTTTCTGAATTGATATTCCAGTACCTTTCACAAGTTAATCCAGTACCAATCTTTTGTCCAATTTTATTGGCTTTGTACAATATTCATTTAACCTAAATATATAATTAATAGTTAAAATATTAAAGAAATATTTAGCAGAAGGGGCATGAGCAGACTTTTTATTTTGCGGTCCTCAACTTTACACCTTTGGATTTTATACTTTTCTAGCTTTTTTAGCACTTTCTTGAGAACATAAAACAAAAACTAATTAAGGAATCAGATTGAATGCTTTCTTTTATAGTGTATTTCTTGCAAATTTTATGGCTTTAGAACTCTTAAATCAATATAAAAAAATTTTAATATTCAGAATTTGGTGTAATTTTACACATAGCTAGAATATCTTTAATTTTTTATTAATCATCAAAATCAATAGTTTGGGGTCTCAATAGTTTTAAGCTTTTTTAACAAGAATTTAACTAGTAAAATAATTGTATATCTAAAGAGACTTTAATCTTTTATTAATCATTATAAATTACACTGTCTTTCTTATAAATTTTAAAATAGTAGAAAGTTAGAACTGATAATGAAAAAATAAAGTATCTGATATAATTTAATATATAGCAATTTTTTTTATATTGTTATCTTGGTATAATTTTATGTGTTTTTTTTATTTCCTCAAGTTTGCAAGTTTTTAAAGCTAATATCATTAAATAAACTGATATCCAGAATAATATCAAATAGATTGATATCCAAAATATTGTCAAATAAATTGACATCTAGAATATTGTCAAATAAATTAATACCTGAAATTAAGGAACATGAACTTTTAGATGAATGTGACACAAATGTAGAGTGTTGTAGAGTATCTAGTTTTTTTATTTAGTTGTCAAATATAGAACTGCATAACATAATATCTTTTTGCATATTCTTTACAGGTTCCAGGTGCAGCAGCAGTTGGCTTACCACAAACTTTGCAAGGAACATGTTTTTTAAACCTCCAATGTTCATGACATCCTTCAGGATGATGACAACCACATCCACAAACTTCATCAAAGTTGTGTAAATAATCACAGGTATATTTTTCAAACATGGGTAAAAGAAGTATTTTTTATTTAAATAAAAGATCTGATTAAGTAATATATAATAAAAAGTACAATATAGACCACAAAAATATCAAATCAGTTTTAGTTGAAATAATTAAAATAGTATATAGTCAAGATACCAAATTTAACATTGTTTAAATATCCAATAAGGTAGAAGCATATTATCTTTAGGTATTTTTAATATTTCTTCACAAACAAATAATCTCTTGGGCCCATTTTCATTTTTATCAATAAGCCAATATAATATTGGCTGATTTTTTTGCATCAATGATTCTTTAATGAAATAGGTTTGAGGAAACCAATTATAATTGGTTACTCTTCTTTTACCACCTTCTAATTCATCAAGCTTAGGCAAATATCTAACAGAAGTATCATAGGACAATCTTTCTTTGACAAATCCCATAGGACCATTTCAAGGTTTGAAAGATTTAAATATATATGTTTCTTTTTTCTAGCTATATTAGGTGTCATTCCAATTAATCAAGTTAAAGTATTATTTAATATCCTAAGAACAATAGATTGATTTTTTATTCAAACTTTTAATCTTTGGAATAAAAGTAATAACAATTCATGTGCATTTTAATTTGAAATACTTTCTTAGTACAAATTCCATTAAAATTTTCAACAATATCTATAGTAGACTTAGAATTGACTTTCTGATTTTTTACATTATGCTTTTTTAAGAATTTTTCAAAATTGTCCTTAAATTCAGAAACTTTATCAGTTATTATTAATTTTATCATATCCTATGAAATAAAATACTCTGGATCATTAAAAAGCATTTTTTTCAAAAACTTCAGTAACTACAGCAGAAATTAAAATACCTTTCAAAGAAAACTCATCTTTATCCATATTTAGGATATCAAGATAGGTTCTAATTAGTTCTGCTTATTTATAATAAGAAGCAACATTTATACAAATAAGACAAAATATATAAGTTATACTTTCTACTTTATTATATGACATATAAACAATATCAACTTGCAAAACTTCAAATAGAACAGTAATATCATTGAAACTTACACAAGAAATATATTTTGGATGAGATTTATGAATTTGATACAAAACTTGTCTTTCAAGCCAATCACATATTTCAGATAATGTGAAATTGAATCCTGCTTTTTGTGAAATTTCATAAAGTTTTTCACAAGTAATTTGATATTCAAAAGGATGATAGTAAATTTTTTGTAAATCAATACTAACATCATGTTCATAAACTTTTTGTGAATCAATATAAATTACAGGTTCACCCATTACTTTAATCTAATATAAATAATAAAATTTTTTCATGGATCTAGCCCACGTTAAGATATTAGAAACTAATAAAGTTTTGAGAGATAAGCTTAATTCTGAGGTAAATATTAATATATTTAATGAAAAAAAATTCAGAAATATCTTTATAAGTTAAAGCAATGCAACAAAACTATATCATTTCAGGATAGTACTATTATAGCTTAGGAAACAGAAATTCAATAATTAAGATTCCAAGTTACTAATCTAAAAAAATGTCTTAGGATAGCATTAGAAGATGTCAAGAAAAAAGAATCATATATTTTATATTTAGAACAAGAATTAATTAATCTTGAAGATAAGATAAATCAGTTAAAAACCAGAATATATAAAATATATTCATATAGGAATATATCAGAAGTTAATACAGACATGGCTCAAATATAACTTCAATTATCTATAACAGAAATTAGATAAAATTATGATAATATTCAAAGGCATTTAGATGATATTAGGTTTTATATGCAAAATTAAGTTTGATCAACTTTTAGTAAAGATGCTATTTTAAGAAAACTCAGATTAATTTCAACATTAGCAAATAAGATTTAAGAAATAGCATAAGATAATTAACCAGTTGATTACAGAATTACTCAACTCTAAAATTGATATGATACTTCTCAAGGAATTTTAAATTTAATACAAAATACTTTTATAAATGAACAGCAGGATCATTGTCAAATATTTGGTAAATATATAAAATAAAAGAATAAAGAAAAAAATTCATGGCAAACAATTAATAATTTATAGTAACAAATTTTTGTGTTACAAAATAGTTCATTACCAAATCCAAACATGCCACTATACAAGATGTTATGCAAACTATTTCATTACAACTTGCTATATTACAGGACTATGATGGACAAGAACCACCATATACTTATTATGTAAAACTTAAAGTTATAAATAAAACAGTCAGACCTTTAGCTGTTGTCACTTTTGATGATGTAGAAAAAGCAAATGTTATGAAAAATAAAATGAAAGGTAGATTTTTTTCAATTCTAGTACAAAATCTATATAATGCTAATACAAATATTGTTACTAAAACAGAAGTATATAACTAGATGCAGAGTAAATATCAAAAAATAATGATTGGAAATTTATGAGCATCATTAAAAGCACATATGAATAAAAGATTTACTTCACTAGATACAATTGATACTTATGAAAAAGAATTAAACCCTATGTATTAGGTATTATCGATGCAGAAGTATTGTTATATCTTTATGATTATTTATCTCTTAGATTAGAAACAGGAATTAAAATAGCAAATTCAAATACTGTAAATGGCTTCTTTACACAATTAAAGATTATTTGTCTAGAGTCTGAAGTATCTACAAGTAATTTTGAAAATGAAATCAATAGTATTCCTATAAATCAATTTTCACAAAAAAATGATGCATTAGAAAAATTTGTAGATATTATAATACAATTGAGATATTCAGGTAATTTATCATATCCCATAGCAATACATAAATTTGTTAAAAATGACCTTATAAAAAATTATAGAAGACAATCTAATTATATTAAAAAAGAGTCTTTTAAATAAGTTAATGAAACTGGTACTATAACAACTAATAGAGATAGTATTAGAAGTGTTAAGAAAGTATATACTATAAAAAAATTACAAAAAGTTACTTATAAATACTCAAATTGTAAAAAAATTAGACATAGAAAAAATAAGTGTCCTGGACTTGTTAAGAAATCTAAAAAGTTAATAATGTTTATCAGAATGATTCAAAAAATTTGAATAATGAGGAGATGATAATATTAAAAGATGATGAGAAAGAGGAGAAATATAAGAAAGAAGAAATTACCTCTGATAATGATAATATTAAAGATAGCATTTGCAATTACGAATTGAAGATTATGATATTACTACCTGTATTACAATTATTGAGGATTTTAATAATAAAAAATTTGCAATTCCGCAATTCTCAATTATCTGAAATTCCTCAATTATTTTGCAATTTCACAATTATTTC